TATATATTTATATTATATAAAGTTTACTTACGTACTTTCATCAACCATATCAGGTCTACTTATTTTTTTTGCCCATTGACAATAAAAGAGCAAGAATGCAACACTTGGTTCTGTATCACTTTTTTCCTTTTTTCATAGACTACGTTTTTATTACGCATGTAAAATTGTCAAGGGATTTGGTGTAAAAGGTAGCTTTACTCATGTTCAGCAAGCAGCATGTTTTCAAGGCAGTTTGGAAATAAGAACTAACCAGATGGTAAGCGTCTGTCGAGTAGATAAGTAAAACCAGTATCGATTGCGCTAACTTGAATTATTTTATTTAATAACAGCAAGCCTTTAAGCTCACACAACTCAATTGAATCGTCTAGGTAAAAACTGACAGTATTTTTTGTTGCTTCCTGTAAGTGCCTTTGTAACTTTGTTTAAAACTATAGTTATTAGGAGGGCCGACACGTTCTACACTATTGTGCTGATGCCACTGTGCTTGGGCTTAGTGCTGGCTGAAGTGGAGGGAGGTGGTGGCGGTCCGTGGTGATGCTGAGAGTGCGGGGGATGAGAAGAGTGCCCGGGGTGCGGGGGGGGCAGCGGCGGATGAGGAGAGTGGGTGTGCTGCGCGTGGGGGTGCTGCATGTAAGAAGTGTGCTGGGAGTGCGCCGCGTGCTGGGAATGGGGCACGTGTTGGTGATACTGGTGCGGGTGCTGGATGTGCTGGGGAGGGTGATAGTGGTGGTGGTGGTGGTAGGGCGGTGGGTTCTGCTGCATGTGACAGTACTGGGAATGGTGGGAGTGCACTTGTGCCTGCGTCTGCCCCTCAGCTGGCCCTGCATGATGCATGGCGGAAGGATGCTGTGAGTGTTGCTGATGCGGGACTGCTGGAGGGTGCGGAGGTTGCTGTGATGAGCCAGATGGTGGATGGCCTTGGGAAGGTGGCTTTCCCCTTTTACTACCAAATAAGGAACCTAGGAGTGAGGAGGAGTTAGGCATAGTCTGGTGAGGGCGAGATGGACACTCTCGGGTTGATGTAGCTCTTCGGCGCATGTGAGGACTGCTAATGATGGACCCCTAAAAAGAAATTAATAGAAATAAAAATTAAAAAAAATCTTAAAATGTTTAAAAGAAAAAGTTCACACTGACCCACAAACTCCTCCTTCAGTGTTCACATGGGTGGACTATCTTAAGAGTTCTAGGAAAAAATTTATTTCCACCTTCTCTAAGTTGCCAGTGAGGCATTCACGCCCCTCTTGGGGTATTTTAAGCATCAAATGTTTTTCTCTTGGTACTTTAATATAGAAAGCTATGACTTTAAATAAGAAAAATGTCACGGAAGATAACATGACAAGACCTAGGAGTGTGTTCTTAAAGGAAAAATACATTTTAAAATACTGCAAAAAATACCATCCTTGCTTTTTTTACAACAAAAAATAAAACTACATTAAATTCAACCTAAATAGTTAAACACACAGCAGCAAATATTACAGTTACAATTCAGATTTCAAAACAGTATTTTAAACTTTTCTTTTTTTAATAGTAGTTTTCCACTACTGTATGCTACAGTGCTGCTTCTCAAGCCTACCTTGGAATTATGTGTTAAATGGAACCATACCATTTTGGCCACTAAGATATCTATGTGATTGTGTTCTTCTGACCTGTGGTCCAACGTTCTCTATTATTTAGGCTGGAATGGTGTATTTAGTTTCTGGAAGTTTGGGGTTTGTATTTTTTAGAAAGCGTTATGGGACACAACAGTACTTAGGCAAAGTGTGCTAGATTTAAACTGCAATCTACCTACAGCAAACACCAAAAAAAAAAAAAAAGGAAAAAAAGAAGAAAAAATCTGCAAGCTGAATTCAGAGACATGAACAGTATATATAAATGGTTTGAAGATGAATGAAATCTCATGAAATCCACATTGAATTCACCTATCTTAATAATTTTTTTCCTCCCATGCCCTATCTGTGCAATTCCATGGTGTCATGACTGCATACATTTAGCAATTTAACTCGAAAATAAGCAATGGGAATGGTTAAGCATGACAGTCAATAGTTGTAGCTAAATATCAAACAGCAAGAACAGTGTACTTTGTGACAAAGAGCAAGTGGGCTTTTAAGCTGGGACCAGACTGAAATGGTGGTAAAAGGACACATCATATTCACTTAACCATGCTTGCAGGAACACAGGGAACAAGGTTAGCTCAAACCAAAAATGGCATCGGTCTAAAACAAGCTGTCAGTGCTTTTTAAGCTGGAAGAATACGGAGTGAGTAGCCTAGGCATGCATTTTATTTGAGGCAGGCAGGTTATATGTTAGAAGAAAAAAGAGCAAAAAAATATGTATATAAAAGAAAGGTTTGAAATGCACATCATCACATCCAGCTAGACATCCGTAACTTCCTACTTACTTCCATATTGCTGTCTAGCGATCCTGCACTGCTGCGTCGCCCACGCTTGCCTGCCCAGGACATGCAACACCATAGATTAGAGACTGAGACAAGACCCGGGTGAAAAACAGCTGCTTTCCCTCAATCGCTAGAGGAGTCTCTAAATGCAACTAGAGGGGCTGCAGGGGGGTTAACATCGCACTGGACTGGTACAGCAGCTACTAAGGCAGAAACTTAGATTTTATTTTTTTTTTAAATTTTTTTTTAAAGCCATTAGTTATATTAAGTTTCTGTACCTGACTAATTTTTAAGAGGTATTGTTGTTGTGAATCAACTGTCATTAGCGGGGTGTGATTTTTTTTAAATTTGTACAACTCTTAAAATACACGTGTTTTAGCATCTGTATTTAGTAGCATGGTTATGATGTTGACCAGCAACAATTTTAAATTGTTCAATTTCCTGGAATCTTATCCTCTATGAAATTTCTTTCTTTAAAGACTGGTAGCATTAATATATACTTGTGGGGTATTAATTTAAATACAAAATTTAATATCGGCATATTCTGAACTTCATTGTGGGGGACTGGTGAGGGGTGTCGGTTTCATCATTTCATTTTCAGCTTTGAACCTCAGTGGATTTCATATAATCTTCTTTCATGAGGTTTTAAAAAAACTAAACTTAATTTTTGATGAAGAAATCTGGAATCTGTCTTGACATTATGGCTAGATTTTGTTTGTTTAGCTGTGCAGTGCTTTATCTTTAAGTATGATGGATTGGTTCTCCAACATTCTTGAATTGCCAAAGACATTTGCCTAAAACTACACATGAAACACCAGCCTGTTTGCCTAAAGAGCCAGAATACCTCAGTGGCTATAAATACAGGACACAGGATCCCAGATTTTCTCTCTCATTTCACAGGAGAGAAAATAGCATATGGCTGCAGTGGAAATAGATATTTTTGAAAATACAGCTTGTTAGGCATTGCTTTGCCACATTTCAAAATACTTTACTGGCAGGGTGTACAAACAAAGCTAACCTTCGAAGAGTGGTCAGGTTCCCAAAGCTTCTCTAAAATCTGCATGTTTGTAGAAACCTAATTTTTCTCAATGCTTTCTCCTTGCTTTCCTGCAAGGCCAAATGTAAGAACTTCGGGACTGGCTTTAAGTGGGACACAACAGTGACTCCTGGGAGGTTCACCCTTACTTCTCGACATACCCTCTCACAGACCAATTTAGACTTCCCATAAGTGTTATAAGAAGATCAGTATGATCTAAAATTACCACCTATTGGATCCACAGGCTTAACTTTGACCTGGTTGGTCAGGGGATGCCGCCCTGCAACACAAGTTTCTCTGAAGAGTGAGTTTCTCTTAGACTACTGTAACCTTTCCCCCCATCTCCCACTGTCATCAAGAGTTACTCCCCAGTACAAACTCCTCTACACTGAAATTAAATCAAGGGGAAGGTGCTTGTGGTCAAGGTGTTTTGTTAGACTTGTTAAAATTTGTTGGAATTTTGAACAATTCCCCTAGGCAGGCTCTTTGACAAAAGCTTGGCGGTTCATCTCTTGCTGCAGTTTTAGTCTCATCAAAACCCTAACTGTGCTATCTTACGAACCCCCTGAGAAAAACTGGTTTTGATAATCCCTTATTTTTACTTCTAGTCAGGCTTTGATAATTTTCTGCTCTGCTAACGGGATTAGTACTGATTAACACTCAAATCACTCTTACTTGCTGATACAAAACCAGAGAAGGATAGCCATCTCTTAACTTAGTAGTCAATATTGCAAGTAAGACTGACAGATGCCACAAGTCATTAGATGTGGCCAAAAATGAAGGAAAATCTAATGCCTTTTGCATATGGCAGGCCTCAAAGTCTCTAATAAAATAACCACGAACACAGTATATACACAGTATATATGGACAGAGACAGATGGATTTTTGCTTAGAATAAGTTCAGGGCAAAGTAGTACTAGCAAAGCCAAGAACAAACAGAAAATCCTACTTGATATGCCTGTAATTTCCCTCAGATAGGTACTATCACTATAAAGAGCGCTTTGTTTTGTTTCTTTAAAACAAATTGAACCCAATTCTGTATTGACCTACAGTGTGATATGAAAGCTATTAAGTAAATCCTCTAGAGCATTCCCCCTGCCAATGCGTGTTTATACAAGCCTGTTCTGTGGTCTTTGAGATGGCATCCCATCTCAAAAATGTTTCCCTAGAGCTGCAGCGTTCAAATGCATTTCGAGAAAACGGTGACTCTTGACTAGAATTGTATGTCAGCATAACTCTGTGCTCACTTAATAATTAACAGCTATGATACAAAACAAGGTGGTATTTATCAAATCTGAAGACTGGTTTTGCTTAATATATTCTGATCTACTTGACATTTTTAAGGATGTTATTTAGAGTGGGTTTTAATTTATACTTACAAACCTAATTTCAGTTAATTCAATATTTTCTGATTGATCCAACAATTCACTGATGTTAGATGTGAATATTCTTTGTAAGAACTATCTTTAACTTACATATGTATATGTCCCATATATGTATATGCGTTATATGGGACTAGGAATATTTCAAATTCATAGAGGACATATTAAGTGATGAAAATATTTTTACAAACGGAAGTATTCCAAAAGAAAATTCAGAGTTTCAATAATAAAAATCCATTCTACCTTGCAGAAATTGATCTCTCAGATGTGCAGATCATTACAGTAAATGGAAATATCTCTCACCACTACCCTGTATTTCTTGAGACTGTTCTATGCCAGTGAGATACACTGATATCTAAACAATGTACTATGACCTGGCTTTGTATGTCTTGGGAAAAACATTTGGAAAAAAGTTCTAAATTAAGGTTTTGGTAAAGCAAATGAATATAGCAGCTCTTATAATAATGAGTCCGTTATACTAGCCTCCAAAGGCTGTGAAATTGATATTCCCAGCAGCAGCAGAATCTGTAACCATCCAGGTACGGAGCTTATAGGTACTAGCCAACCTGGCTTGCTCAAAATTACCTAAACTATATGTGCTAATCGTTAATTTAGAAAGATCACTTTCCAGGGTGAAAAGACTCTTTCTAACCTTCATAGTTTCACCTTGTTTTCTGGGTGAAACAGGTACGGTCTTAAAGATCACAAACCAATTGTGAAAATAGGTTCTGGGCATCTTCAAACAGATCATTCTCAACATACTGGTTAAGCCGCAGGTGACGAGAAAGCAGCATAACCACACCTCGCCTTGCTGAACTCCTCCTTCACTGGAAAAGCACAGGAGGAAATAACCTAGTGACCCTGCCTGCATCAGGTGAGGGGGCAGCCAAGGGCTCCCATCACAGAGCGATTCAACAGGGAAAGGGATGTTGGAATTGCATGAACTCAGCCTCTTTTTAAGGGGATTACAATGCTGAGAAGTTCCACAATCTTTTCCATTACATTTTGGGATACAGGAAATTTTAAAAAAAAACATGAAGAAATTGTTAAAAAAAAGTAGCTTTTTTTGGAAGGTAGAAAGAAACATTTAAGAAGTTAAAGGTTGATGACTGAGATTATATGCAATATACAAAAAGAATTATTTTAATTCTGGAATTACTTATGGTTTTAGTTTGGGTTTGGTATTTTTTTAGGTAGTCTCCACTTAAAGATTGTTTTGAGATAGCTCAGGAGATTATGAGACAAGCACAACTTTTATTAATAGTAACCATTATATCATCCTGCACTCCTTTGCAGATTCCAATATTACATGCGCATGCCAGTTGCATATTACTGAGGCAAACCATACAATTACAATTTTTAAACCACTCCAGTGAGTAAATATTACTCCCCCCCCTTACAGGTTAGGGATGGGGGGGGAATAACTTGATTTCCACAGGTGCTCACCACTGTAAACTCAATGTGAAAGCACCGGGTCCTCCAGGAACTCAGTCACTGGAATTCAGATTGATTAGCCTAAAATCAGTCAAGAAACCTGAGAGATACAGAATCAGAAGCACAACCAGTCTAATCCTCCGTGCTCTGCTCTAGCGACCAAATCATTCTTCCCATGTACCAGTGGCCACGATGGGACTTCACTCCTTTCACATTTTCTGTAAACCTACTTATCAGGTAATGGTACATGGAGTAAGTCATGAAACATCCAAAATTCTGACAGAACCCACAAAACTCAGTTTTAACTGCATTAAAATTTGTCTGTCTTCTAGCATTTTTATGTAAATTAAGAATTCCTAAGTCTGGGACAAATAAATTCAGTTCTTCCTTGACTATAGCTCAAGAATGTGCAATAAAAACTATGTATTTTTCTTTGCAGAAAAATCAGGCACTAAATACTTTTGACAATTCACATCTTGGAACAGTTGGTCACCACATTCTGCTTTTTATTCCATGGAAGGAACTGTCAATCCATGATGAACAATACTATCTGTAAAATCAAGAGACCCTCATGCACATCCTTTTTTTGCAATTACGATTTAAGCTATCGTGGCAAATGCATGGAAGAACAACCATCAGGAAACGATTTCTGATGTGGTTTCCTGACAAGAAAATCTTGCCTTTCCTTATGGTTTACAGTTTAGGAGTCAGAATCATTCAGGGTATCAACATTCATTAGATGTAAGAAGCTTATGAATAATTACTCTTTTCCACGACAGAAATTTAAAGTCACTTTCCACAGCCACCATTTACTACTGTGATACCTGTAACGGACTGTTTTCTTGAATAGTTTTGCCATATACCTGTGCAAACAAAATGCTGTTCGATCAGATTTCCCCTTCATTGAATAAATATTTTAAAATTTTCAATTTGTTTTTGCAACGTTCATTGGACAATTATCTGCCTTATTGCGTAAGTATGCACTAGGCAATTTCCTCATGTTTATTAGATTCAGTTCTGTTTAAATGTAGAAAGGAACGCTCTAAAAATCCACTTTCACCATGCCTTTTCCTGCAGAAGACACACACCCACACACAGTCCACTACTCCTGTTCCTCCTCCTTTTTGATCCTGTGTTTCATCCACAAAAAGAAGAATTGAGGCAACCTAACTCAATCCTCTTTTACAGAAGCAATTTAGCATGGTATAATCCTGGGACACCAGTATCTTGCTAACTGAAAGAGATTTCTTTGGTTTTCTATTGATCATCTGTCCCATATTAAAACAAAATCAGCCTCACATGCAAGCTATTCGCTGAGAAAAGGCAGAAAAGACATGTATAATCTCATTAAAATGACACCAAATAACAAAGCAAATAACAGGTATGTAATTTCTCAAGTCAGTTGCACTGCACAAGACCAAACAGAAACTCTCCATAATTCTCAACTCGTTAAAATTAAGTTTAGTTGGGTTTAACAAACTCATTGATAAACCCTGCAGTCTGTGAGTGATTTCTACTTTTTATTATGGAAAAAAGTTATTTTCAGTAATAGGCATGCCAATTGCAGGCATGCCCTGTTGAAATGTGAAATGTTTTCATGATTACAAATACTCATTTATTGCATAAAACCCAAAACAGGAATTTAAATACATGGCAATGTTTGAAAGACAGGGATGAAAAATTCCTATGGGATGAAAAAAATTAATCAGAAATCACACTTGTGGGTACAGATACCCACTGAACTCACATATTCAACAATATGGTAGTTCTCCTTCTCATGAAATAAAAATAAAACAACAAAAAAGGATGATGGAAGTATCCTCAAATCTGAGATCTAATAGTGGTGAAGACTAGTGGCTTGATCTAAAATCCTTTGAAGCCAATCAAGCACCAATATTCAACTTCAGCCTGATTTTGGATCAAGGCCCTAGGTCTTTTTAATGAAGCAAACGGACATATGAGTATGAGAGCCTACACAGAGAATAAAATAATTGAAAGAGCTCACTCTCTACATATTTGTATGCACATACATATAGCATATAAGGGCTATAATTTCAGTTTACAATTTTATTTACTGCAGTATAGCTAAAAACTCTTCTTTAGTTAAAAAAGAAAGAAGTAGTGTCTACTACTAAAGATATACATAATATTGAAATTATGACTATACTGTAAATCATCACTGCAATTTAAAAAAAAAACAAATCAGAGCATGTAACACAGACTATAAGCTAAAAAAAAAATAATTTAAAAAAATATAGTTGCCACTGTCCCCAGAAGTACTTTCTGAATAGTGGGCATGGTGTTCAGATACAACTTCCTGTAAATGACAGGAATCACGTTTAACACCAAAAGACAAGGTTACTACCTATTGTAGCCTGTATTACATGGGTATGCCAGTTGTGTATTACCAAGGCAAACCACAAAATAAAAACATACCAAACTTCCCCTGGCTTTTCTTTGGCCAAAAAATCACACCACCACTCCTTTCCAGTCTTTAGCTATATTAGTCAGTTAATAAATCTTAAGACACATCAGCGGTTTTGTGGGATATCTGTATTCTTGTCCCCTAGGGCTTCCTTTATTATATCGGCAATAGTATTTCACAACAACCTCTTTTGCAAGAATTGGGAACTACATCTTGAGTTACAAAAGAATAAAAGAGCATCAGGGACACACTGTATCTGAATTACATAGCTCTACGCAGAATTTAGTAGGGCTTCACTCAATTTCATTCATCAATGTGGTAACACAGGTACACTTGAGCACAAAATACACAGAAAGCGGTCATTACACAGAGACCAGTTTCTTTCCTTTTCTTTCTAAACCTATTGTATGAAGGGGAAGAAGCAAAGGGGAAGAAAAAAAGAAAGGAAAACTAAGTGGGTTACTCCTAGCACAAGTTAACCAGTTTTTTAATAAAACACTTACAATTTTTCCTCTGTCTTCGTTCTCCTTTAAAAGTACATATAGCAATCTACAACAGTTTAAATGCTCTCAAATAGTGGTTGCTTAATAAAACAAGGGTAAAAAACAAACAGAAATTAAACACGAACTATGAAAGAGGAGCTATTTAAAATGTTTGAGGTTTCAGGATTACTAATTCTGAAAGCCCACTGCGAGCTGGGCTTTAAATGCATCATTCACGCATCTTTGCATGCACTAGTCAGAGCCAGGAAATAAAGGCAGTGCTTACCTGCTTCAGACAGGTCTCTGAGGGAGCTGCTCAGCGCACTCCTCTTCAGCCCCTCCCCAGTAGCATAGCTGTCATCCAGGCAAGCTCTGTTCAGCGTCCCGTTGCCAGAATCTTTTTTCAGGCTGGAGCATTGAGACATGCTTGGACGCACCACACCCTTCTGTTTTTCTAGCTCAGCTGAAACAAAGAGAATCATTTTGCAATTCATATTTATTGACTATAACAGAGGACATGGTAACATCACAATTTCTGTATGCGATCACATATTACTGTGAATAATAGATATGAGTTCATTTTGGCGCTGTTAAATGCCAGAGAGGAACTTCGACCCTGTACTAACAGCTTTATATTACATCATACAGGAGGAAAGGCTATTCCTCTCTTGGAAAAACAGAAGATAAAATTCCATGTTTAGAGGCCCATGTAACTTCCAGCAAAATATATCGATTTGTACTATGGCTGCCTAATTGAGAGAACAGAGGAATATCAACATGGAAATGAAGAAGAATTCAGTGAAACTTATTTGAAGGGCCATCATTAAGAATTTCAAACTGATGTAAATTATCCCTAAAATTCTTACTGTAATTCATACTACACATATCAAAGGCATCTCTCCTCTGTCCATTGCCATTTGCAGTTTGTCCAGGCTAAATTTCCACTGCAGCTACACTGCACTAAATAATAGTCAATGAACTTGGCTGGGGCTTAAGATATTATTGGGTTTTTCCTCTTTCTAGAATCAAAGCCATGGAAAAAACCCCAGATTATTTTGAACTTTTAAGGAATTCTAATGGGTTACACACAGACTCACGATTTTCTTGTTTTGATTAGCTTGAAAACGCTCTATTGTATGTACCTTGGTACTTACACTCTATTCTGTGCTTTTCCATTTCTTGAACCTCTGCAATTGACTCCCTCAAGTCATCTGTAAACTTCTTCCTGTCCTGAGGATTTGGTGCATTGAAATTTATTAGTACTTTGATATCTGCTCCTGGAACAGCTGAAGTGAGCCGAATACCGTTGGGATAATCTAGAAAAGAAAGTCAAGAAAAACTAAGCTCTGATTATTCCAATTCCTTTTCTTTTTATTAAAAACAAACAAACATACAAAAAACTCGCACAACTGAAGGCTTTTCACTGATACTACCATATAGGAACAAAGTCAGAGAAATCAAAGTCTAAAGGCACAGAAATAGTATGAAAAATCCCTAAGATACATTGGTACTGCTTAACTGTCAAGATACCGAATAAATACTGAAAGATAGTCTTTATGCAGCTATTACCCTTAAGGTACAACATACAATATAAAAGAAAAATCCCAGAAAAAAAACAAAAAAAAAAAAATTAGGGGCATAATTTTTGTTTCACAGAGCAGATCCCATTACCTACCTTACTCAATTGTGACCAAAGTTTTGCTGAATAAAGACTACTTGAACACATCTCAAGTACCAGAAACTTTTAACTTAACTTTTGCAGGAAGACAAACACACTAGCATGTACAGCTTTTAGTATTTCCCATTAAGTTGTGCTCCCTGGACATCCTGCTTTCATTTTTTTTCTTAAAAATACAGTGAATATTATCTGTGAAATTACATACATCTTCACACTAAAAGGCAGATTTTTCAGCAAACTGTCTTTGCCTCTTTTCTAGCTGCACATCTGAGAATACCAACTTTAACAGCTGGTCAAAAATATCTCCTGGTTGAGATAAAAAGAGAGTTTATAATGAAGAGACTTTCTGCTGTAGAAAACAGAATCAGCCTTTGCTTTGAACCAAATCTGTAGAAACAGGGTGTCAGAAAAACTCAAAATGTCCATTCTAATTCACAATGTTTTCTTTTACTCAACTGCCTGACCTTAGTGGTTTGTTAAAGCTTTCAAATATTTACTTAAATATTCAACCTGAAGTTCAAGTGCTCCCATGTACTAAAATTCATTCCCTCAAGAACCAGCAGATGATGCAAGGTAGTCTCTTCCTCAAAGTCATTAGGTTTCAGCAATATACAGACTTAGAATATTGAGAAACAAGTGCAAGTGCTATGCTTTTTTAAAAGGATACCTTAACTTTCATAGCAGACTTGCAACTAAAAGTGAAGCCAAGTCCATTTACCATTCTCAGGTGAAAAAAAGGTGCCAACTACCACAAGCTTCAAAGAGTACAGAGGGGAAGAAGGGAGCAAGAATTTGGGGCTTCTGCCAGGGTCTGACATCATCACCTTGCACAGAAGCAATGTATAGCCTATCTGCTTCTCCTGACCGTGTGACAATTGCATCTACCTTCAACGAAATAAGACAGCCGCCTCAAGCTGTCTGCAGCTGCTGTCGTTCAGAATACAGCCAAACGGGCAAGGTGCAGGGAGGCTGGCGCTAGGCAAGCCCGCGGGTGGAGAGCGGGGTCTAACAGCACGTGCTGTTTTGAGCACTGAAACTGGACATGCAGCAAACAGCTCTACCAAGTGCACCACTTGGAAAAAAAAGTTTATGAAACCAAACAAGGAAACTCGGTAACCCCAAAGTCACGTGGGCTACCTGCACATAAGAACAACGAATCTCCACACACTGAACAAACAAAAATGTTTTATTACCAGAGATACTTCTCTATATCATATCGATTAAGCATCAGGAAACACTGATGTAAGTATTTATTGGTTTCAGATACACTCTCTCTGAAGTGATCTGCTTGCCCTTTACATTTTCAGTGATTTTGACTGAAAATGTAAAATATACTTCCCTCATGGCCTATTTATTTACTAGATATACATGACATTATTTTCCCTTTTGAAGCTCTTCCATCCCTCAACTTAACTGACTTCTATCATTAGAAGCCAATTCTTCTGTCATCAACGCCAACCATTTCATTCAACCTCACCAGCAGCCATACCAATATTTTTGTTGCTTCTGCTTTAGTGACAGTAAATTTTATTCACTTGCACCTAGCTGATTCTGACAGCTGCTACACACAGATTTGCTGAATGGCGTGACGGCTTTGGCCAAAATACAGGGGAAACCAAGAATACGAATTTTACAAACCAGAGGGGATTTTTCTTTCCCAACTGGAAAATACTGCCTTTCACCTGACAGGCACCGGCATTAGAAGTACAATCAGCTCACTCATTCACCGTAGTGAATTCACCTTAGGAGCCTGGCCCGGTTTTGGCAGGGATAGAGTTACTTTTCTTCCTAGCAGCTGGTATAGTGCTGTGTTTGGGATTTAGGGTGAGAATAATGTTGATAACAGTGATGTTTTTAGCTGTTGCCAAGCAGTCAAGGACTTTTCAGCTTCTCACACTGCCCCGCCAACAAGAAGGTGGGGGGCACTCAAGAAGCTGGGAGGGGACACAGCTGGCCAAAGGGATAGTCCATACCATACGATGTCATGCTCAGTATATAACTGGGGGCTGGGCTAGCTGGCTTGAGAACTGGATGAGTATCGGCCTTGGCTGGCAAGCAATTGTCCTGCGCATCACTTGTTTTGTATATTCTATTATTATTATTACTACTACTACTATTATTATTATTGTCTTTCTTTTCTGTCCTATTAAACTGTCTTTATCTCAACCCACAAGTTTTACCTTTTTTATTTTTCTTTTTGATTCTCTCCCCCATTGCACTGAGGTGGGGAGCGAGCAAACTGCTGTGTGGTTGTTTTAGCTGCCTGTCAGGTTAAACCCCGACAGAGCCCAACTATGTCAACTAAAGTGTCCCAGTTAAAATGCCTCCAGTTCACTGGGAGGAAACCAACCTTTCACTCCTAGTTCCACTACAGATATTTTTAAGTTTACTTGAATAAAGTGTTTCTACTTAGCAAGCTTATGTGATTTTTTTTTTAATTTATTTAACCTGACATCAGAGGAATTATATATTTCTCTATTTTTAGTAGAATCCAGGATAGAAATATTTGGCCTTCCTCTCTAAAATGAATTTTATATCATATAATGTGTGCATAAAAGAGAGAGAGAATGAATGTGTATGCATATAAATAATCTGCAGGCTACATCGCTGCTATAAGCTCTACAAAATCTTCCCTTTTGAAATCTCCAGATGCTTTGACTCAATAGTAGCATCTTCTTTTGAGATGAGCATTGGAGCACATTCTCAAGGACAAGTGAAAACTAAAAGCCTCCCACAACAGAAATGCACAGACAGTACTGAATGTTACACTGAGCTCTATCCAGTTTATAATGAAGGTCAAGGTTTGGTTTACAAACCATGAAGTCAGGTCAAACAGACTGTCTCCCCATGTACCAAACCAACAACTGTGCTCTGCTACGTTATTACTGATGCTGCCTCAGGGCTTAAAATCTACAGGAGCATTAGCAAACTATTTGCTTTTTGTTGGGCTGTTGTCTGCTAAAACTAAGCTTGATAAGCATTAAAGATAAAAAGAACTTTGGATTGATGCAGATTAACATAAACAAAAGGTGTCAGAAAACACAAACCTTAATCCAGACTCTTTGCTTTGTATTTATATTTGAATAAGTATACATTACCTAGGCACAAAGTTAAGATACAAGTCAGGAAAATAAATTAAATGGTGGTTGGAATGACACATATCATTATAATAGTCATTATTTATTATCATACATTCAGTTCCAGCTAACTGTACCATTGACTCAGCAACAGATACAGTATTATTTATTTCTTTACAAACATTCTATTCCTTACAAGCACACCACCACATTTGGCTAGATTCGGCTTCTGACTACAAACAAAAAAATCTAATAGCAGTCTTGCTGTTTCTTATGCTGACACCACCTTGTTTTAAACTTTAGGGCTAAGTTAAGTTCAGAGCAATTTCATTCCTAAATTCAGAATCAAATCCTGTCCATCCCTTTCACTCACATGAATTTTTATTTTATTTTATTTATAAATAAAATGGTCATCGAAAAAGAGAGGAAAGACTTACACTGGTTCTCAAAAAGAAGAACTTGCATTCCATAGAGGGAAAAGGACTGTCGAAAACTGTATGTGACTGAGTTCTTCTTCTTTTGAAAAATCTTGGTCACCTGAAAGTTATCAAATAAGCAAAGTTAAATATACCTTTTACCATATATGTTTGTGGAAAATTACTGTTCTTAAGAATTAGCATATGAGAGAACATTTTATGCCAAAGAAAGCTATAATCTGCCAGAAAAGATGAATTTGTAATCTTTTTCCTTCTTTTTATTATTTTTTTAATGCAATTGATGTCTTTAATCTACTACTACTGAAGAAACAAAGCTAGCTTGGAAGCATTGGTATCTCTTAACCAGAAGGTTAATATTTTATCCAGGTACAAAGCCTTTGTGTTCTCTATTCTCCACAGCTCTACTTCTTGAAATTCCAGAAAGAAAAAACCCTACATCATATTGTGCACTGTACATGCTAGCAAAAATGCAAACATGTTTACATTTTCCTTTTTAAAAAACTTAGCTGCCAGCACACTTTCCTTCACATTTTTTTTTTACAGTCTGACAACGGGCAGGACATGTCCATGGACCTCTCCACACAAGCTTAATTCTTAGCTCTTACGTGCTACGTGACCTTCCAAGCCTACTTCCAAGAAGTAGTAGCATGTTACTTCTATTGTAGCAAAAAATAAAGGTTTCCACGGACTCAGAGCTTGTATTGAGATAGGTGCTGTACAAATCACAGGGAGAACAGGGCATCATTGGATGAGATGGTCTAAGAGGGTATTTGGAGGTGCACACAAGTGGCTTTTTCGTAACAAAACATAAAATAGTTTAGTTCTTAGTTCTCAGGTAACAGCCAAATACATTCCAAATAGAGTGCAACAAATTTTCCTATTTTTAAGAGTAAATCAACCAAATAATTCCAAGCTGTTGCTAGTTTTGTACGTCTGTTTTTCAAAAGACTGGGTCAAGTTAAATGCACACTAAAAAGTAAATGTATTTCAATATATCCTATTCCTATTTCAATGAATAAATATGTCTGGTTCATAGAACGTCTGATGAATACATATGACTATGTAACTTTGTTTTTCCACAAGTAACTTGAATTCATTATTCACAGAATAAAGAATGTTTCCATTTATCCATTAGAGAAATGGGTAAACTGGAAGTAATTTTTGTTCTTTATAGTAAAAGCTATTGAATCAACGTACTTTCTTACAATAGAGCGCAGTAATCAATAAAAGGCTTCAGTTTAAAAGCAAATTATATATAATGAAGAAAATTAAGAAGATTTAAATTGTAATCATCCCAAGATTGTTGGAGTACACAGTAACAGGTAATAGATAATTATTTTGAGGAATGCTCATGCACTTAATTGCCACTGATTTCATGGAGATAGGCGTTTCTGAATACCTCACTAGAAACCTATCCACCTGAAAGTACATACCACAAGAAGATCATTAAATAAAAATATTTCTCGCTGGTGCAATCCAAGCTTCTGAGGTTTATTTGGATCTGGAACTTCAAACAGCCTACAGTAGCAAACGAGTCTCCGGTGGGGTAGAGAGAGGACCTATGATAATACAAAGTTCGTGGTTAATATAGCAATATTTACCCAAGCAAGAGCATCCTTCATACTCAGAGTCTTTTTTTTGAATACTTCAAATATTTTTACCCCTAAGCCCATTAGACTTTGTTATCAGATGACCAACAACAGAAAAATAAAGATTTATATGCCACAAACTTGCATGACATTCAAACTTCATCGTAATTCTTATATAAAATACTCTCTCACAGCTTGCAGTCCTGTACATGGACACCAATGAAAGTTTTACTGGGGATAGTTTTACTTTGTGAAATGGTAAAACCTTGAAAGAACTTAAAATTAAGCACGTGGGAGCTCAAAGCAAAGGACGTTTGCTTTCCTGAGCATTTTAATGTATCTTTATTAGAAGAGAAGATGCAAAGCAACTTCAGCTTTTGGGAGATGATCACACTGATGTTGTAGACTACATTTTATCAGCCACTGAGTTAATTCAATTTGCTCATTCCCCAATACCAAGGAAATGGTGACATCAGGAAAAAGTAAATGCATTTTCAGTCTGGCTTATGTTCTCATGCCAACAAGAAAACCAAGAATAATTTTCCATTTTCTTATTTGAAATGCCTGCTGAAGTTATCTCTGAAGCTGCTGTTCTCAACCTAGTAAGACTTCATTTCTTTCAAATGCAAATGATGATATCTTGTCAACAATATTAAATCATTAAACCTGTACAATTTGAAGTAGAGAATATTCTTTGGTAACTAGACATGTATTTCCTTTCTGTATTTTATTTCTTTATAATTCCTGATTCTGCATGGGAATTATGAGATTTACTGGACAAAGAAAAAGAGTCAAAGACTGTTACTGCTGCTTCTTCCTCAACATGAACAGGGAAGGAGAAAAAAAAAAGAAGGGTTCACTATCTGCCCTTGTTCCTGGTTGGTTATCAAATCAGTTGGTGAGATTCCAGTTTTTCCCCAAAATCCTATGATAATCGTACTAATAACAGATAAAATGCTAATAGCATTTAATTTATCTATGGCATTAAGTTAATTACCCTTTCTGAACTTGCAAAGAGAAGGTATTTAAGAACAAATCTGACATGTTCTAAACGAGCCAGTGTGGTGATGAATGCTGGAGGAACCAATGGTTTCCATTTTCAGGTTATTCCGGTAACTGAACAGCTTACACAGTTTCTCAGGGAAAAGTGGGAGGAATCAATGTTGCGTGTTCCCATTCTCTCTTACCTCCAGACTTAGTTTCCCCAGCACATGGCAGTCTGAGATTTGCTACAGCGAGATAACAAAGCCCAAGGGCAGTCACTGAGCCTACGAACTTGCAAACAACTACAGTGAGCTCTGGACTGAAATTTAACTATAGACAATGCTTTCATTCATAGCAATAGATGAGCCGGGAAGATTAGCTTCTACTATATTTTATAAAGGTCACATCTTTCAGTTTGTTTTTACAGTCCAGTGGTACTGCTAGACATGCATCCAGGAAACAATGACAGGTACTTCACTTAGGAATATGAAGCCAGGTCTGCGTGATTTTCATTGTTTACACAGAAAAAGCAAGAAAGAGAAGACTGAAAAAACAAATGAAAGTTTAAAGTTCCTTCTTCGGGTTGTCCCAAGTGAAGATGCTAATGCACAGTGCAGTTAGAATTCAGGAAAAAATATCATTAGGATTAAATTTGCATAAGGTAATCAGATTTCAGCGCAGTATGTGCACTCCTGTGCTATGAGATGGGTTTTTGGTTTGTTCAAAACTACTAGCAATAATGCTATCATGAAATTAAAGTAAGCGGAACACTGCATTAGAAAACTAGTTTTAGGATTATTATTGAATATTCCTGTAACTTAAATCTGGAATCAGTATTTTCTATGTTCATCCACCTTTCAGAAGAGAACTGTTACTTTTAATTGGCAATACCTTTCTGGAGTATCGTTCAAAACCGAAATGGACCAGAAAGAATAAACACACCAAGGCCCAGGTGGAAAGGTGAAGTGCAACTGTAATTTTAGCTATTTATTTATTCTTCACTGCCTGCCTAATTTCTACAGTGATAATAACATTTGAAATGCAAAGAAAGTGTACTAACAAAAAAGGTTTAGAAAACTCTTGCCAATAAATTAAGCAGTCTCTCTGGGAAATATACTTTTAAGAAAAATCTCTATACTTTGGAGAGTTATTACTAAAACAATAGGACAATTCTGCTTGAAAACAGCCCAATTTTTTAAAAAGCCAAAATGTAATGGAATGCATTATTGCCTGTTTAAGAAAATGCTGCCAGTTAAAATTACTATAAATTTTGAAGGAATATGAGAGAAATACCTACACAACCAAGTCCATGATGCAGAGATCCAATCTACAGTAGAAAGACATATACAAGTTCATTAAACTTCAGAGAAACACAGTACTGTATCATAGCAAGTAAATACGTCACGGTCTTACTATGACTAAATGCCTATAAAGTAAAAACAAATATTTCTATCAATAAAGACTGTTGGCTGTTTCCTAAATTTTCTTTCACACAGTTAAAAAGTCTCTCAACAGAAGAATCCTTGAACCTAGGACTCCATCGAGGGCATTGTTTTCTTAATGCCATTTAATTTACAAGGTCAGGATTATTTTTAGGATTGGAATTGCCATATGCCTGAATAAAAAAAGAACCATGGAAAAAAATATCTCCCACAGAAGCCTATATATAAACCTAAATACCCAAACAATTATGGAAAATAAGATTCATATGAAAGCATAAATGACTGTCAAATACTGACTTCAGAATATTTGTTTCCCTTCTCCTCAAAAATAGGTAAAAGCTTTGATTAAGGAAATTTTGCTTTCTTTCTCCTCTGCTTCTTTCAAGAGATCTCCTCAATATTTCCTTTCTGGGAAACAGAGGTAAATTTGATTTTTATTTTTGTCCCTCATTCCCTTCTCCCCCTCCCCCCACTGAGGCCTGTCTGAGAAGAGATTACAATTCAAAGCCCTTTAAAAGTAACAGGCAGAATCTTAAGATCCATGCTCTTTTTCTTAATAACAATTCCCTCAACCCATCAGTCCCTGCTGCAGTAAAGTTCCCTAGAGTTGATAAAAAAACTGATGTAGGACTTCAAAAACATGCTAGTGTTTTTTTTGGCTTTGTTCTGGGCTGCCTTTGTGACTGTTAACGGGAAGATTTTCAGCAGATGACTCTAGGACTTTAATTCAGGAAGGCTGAGCATCCATTGTCTCTGTCCACATTAGATATCATTGTTAGCATGTAAAATATTGGTCTTAGTATCTCTCTGTGCACTTAGCTCCTAAAATGAAGGGAAAAATGCTATGGCCTTCCTTTTTACTCTCCTTTTCCAACAGACACTTTGAAGATTAGTTTATATAGCAAAGTATTTCAGGATTTCTCCCACAACAAAGCAGAAGGTATCTTTGGATGCTCAAACCCAGCATTAGAGTCCCTGGGACCTGATTTCCAGATGAGTTCTGAGACAAAACGACACGATCTCCACTTACAAATACCAGTTCATAGAGCTAGCTGCAGAGCTGAGAAAGACACTGATGTTAACAGTTGTTCTCTTATCACTGGTTTAAATTATGGAGCCATAACTGATAGTGTAAATGTTGAAATACGATTCTCTGTAGCATCACTTGATCAACACACTTCAATTCTATGGAAATGAACACGAGACCTGCCTAAAATGCAGATATTTCAGTGTAATTTCTGAATTGTAAAGCTTCACAGACAGAAAAGAGTTTAAGACTCATAACATGATCACTCATGAACACCAGACTGCAACAACAAAAATCGTCTGCACTGTGAATGCTCCAAAATGAAAACCAATCTTATAGCCAATTATCATTGTGGCAGTTTCTACCTTTTGCCATTTACCAACCAATTTATACTTCTAAGCAACAACTTCTGTACTGTTCTACACTGTACATGCTGCGTTACATCTCCTTAGTAACTGACAGGCAGTGCAAAGTGAACTCACCGGCTTCTTTCCTACTATGAGTTTTTCAACCTTCTGGACTTGGGATACATGATCCTCATTTGTCTTCAGTTCCCGTTTGCGGATTCGCTCATAAATCCCAATCAGCATTTCTCGTGGGATATCTTCCCCATCATCCACACCTGCAGAAGCCAACAGTTTCTGTTATCAGTCTGGCTCCGACTGATCTGACTAACAAACACTGTTACCTCTCAGCAAGGTAGGCTTCTCAGCAAGGAGAATATAAGACCACGGCAGTCGTTGTTTTCTCTGCTAACAGTAATGCCAATGTTGCTCAAGACTGCTGATGTACTTGTTGATGCTGTTTTGGTTTATAGCTGCCAGCACTCTATCAGCTAACATCTGCTATGCTGTTCTTGCACCTACCTTACCAAAGCAGCACAAGTTATGTTACTCATTACATCACTGTAATGCACTGATTTTTGTCCAAAAGCTTGCTGTCCCCAATATGCCAAGACATTGATGGAGAAAGGCTAATGTAAAACTAAGCCATAAAAAGGCTAATTTCTAAGTAAATTCTTGTTTGTTTGTTTTAATTTTCTTCTGTTTGGCATCAAAGCTCAAATGAGTTAAATAACCCTTTAGACACTAAAACCTTCATATGACCTCCTCCTAGGAGTATACCACTGGGAAGAAGCAGACCCAACATTCCATTTTGCCTCTGTCTGAATGTTACTCAACGTTATTCATAAAATAATTTCCTACATGACAATCTTATGAACACCCAGTAAAAATAATTTAACCAATATTTCCTGTATTATTTCAAAACCAATTAATTTACTCTGGAAAAACAATAAAAAAATAGCCTAGTTACAGCATTATTGTTTAGCACACTGTGATTACCACTGGCATGTCAGTATCCTAACAAATGCCATAGTCTCTCGAATGCTCGATCCTGAATTTTTAACAGCAATGGAAAGAGCCCCATTTCAATAAGTGACTTAAAGCCGGATTTCCTGGGGACAGGGAGATGCATGTCTTATTTTTAAACAGGTTTTAAAGCAATAACCTCTTATCTCCCATTCAGAAGCCAAAATTCAATATTTTGTCACCTAGTGGAACAACTGCTCACATAAAATATTCTCCCATAAAATAGTTTCTTTGCAACTAGAAGCAAGCTAAACCGCCTCTGCTCTGTTCCACACCAGAAAGTCTTCCACAGACCAGTCATTTAAAGTTATAGGCAAGGGAGCCTATTACAAAAATGCCTGCAATAATAAGAAATTGCTGGCATTCAGGCTGGAGCTCAGAGAGAATGTACTGTATTTAATACAACAAACATAACTGTAATATTATGCTAAGAGATGAATATCAGGCCTTTTTTAATTTTTATGGATTTTACAATAAAATCTCAACACTAACTTAAATTTTGCTAAGCTAAAACATCTGCTAAGCATAGATCGTTCATTGCTGTCTTATATAAATCTAAGGGAATAAAATCACCAAACAGGACTTTCATTTTCAAGATCTGACATTCCAGACCACCACAAGTATTTTGTTTTTAGCAATGCTAAACTGAAAGTACCACATGCAGGCATGAATACAAACTGCCATGCACCTGGGATGCGCCAATATATTTTTATATATTAAGCAACTTGATCCTGTCTTCCTGCCACTCAGCCCACTTCCAGGTATCACTGAGAAAATGGCTGTTAGACAATACCTCAGTACTTGCTGGTGCCTGCAGCAGTGGGCCTATTCTGCTACCATGCTGCTACATCCACTGTTGCCAAAAGAAGAGAGACTGTGCTTATCTGGTGCGTAAAAGCAGAGGGAGGCAGAGGAGAGGCTTGCAATGACCGAGCAGGCAATTCTCCTGGCCTTTGCACAAACACACAGTAATGGAACTATAGTAAAAGCTGCTTTTTCCCTATGGGCACAAACTGTCTTAAAGGAAAAAAAGGGATGGGGACTTCAGCCTCATTTTATTTCTCTAACATCTGAGTGCTCTTCTGTGATAAAAGGTAAATGCTGCCTGACCCATTCTTCATTGAGTGCCCAGAACAAGAGGAGGTATCATCTGCCTATGCACGATCTTCCTCCTCAGCTCTACAGGGACTACTTCCTGTTAGGCAGAGCTGAGCTGATGTATCATAAACCCCTGGGTTTTCTCCACCAGAGAGAACCAGGATAGAAAGAGCGGAGATACAGATTTGAAAAAATATCTGGGTTTTTTTTGGCAATCTAATTGCAGGCTTAGGTGTGCCATAGTCTGGCAAATAGTTTCTTGATCAGGAAATACACCAAAGAAGAAACCAAAATGAAATTTTTGTGCTATTTACTGTCTATCTTTCAGGAAGGCTTTGGAGTTGGGATTTATTTTTTTTTCCCCTCACCAAGCATTTAAATCTTTAGTTGATTTTCAAAAGTCTTCATCATGGCATAGCAATTTGTGTTCCTTAATATACCTACATATACTGCCTGAGGAAATGCAAGTTTTCTGCGGCAATACCTTTCATACAAGTTTCTAGCAAAGTCATTAATCTGCATCTCTTAAGAATGTGGAAAGCTGTTGTGTTGCTTCAGGTCGCAGGTTTGTACCTCTCTAACAAAACCGAAGAGACAGTGGCTCTGTCTCCTCTGCATGTCTACTTAATGAGAATAAGTAGTTTATATTTTTGAAACTAGGGACGGAAAGAGATTTCCTTTTAGAATAAAACTCTAAAATATGTAAGAGACCATACTTGTTTAACTTTTTTCAGAATAGAGATCTGATATCCCCTGTAATACATTGGTTGCTGTGGAGAAATCACACACTGTAAACTATGAAGACAGCATCTCTGTAAGAACTCCTTAGTAAGCTTATGCTGCAGTGTAGTGGTGTAATTCACTATCTAGAAATCGCATTCCTCCTCTCAGGAATAGTCTGCAACATGCCGTGACACTATACGAAGATTTATATACCTATAAACAGACACACACACACACACATTCTTTGCAACAGAATTTATTCATTCCTTCATTCACATGCATACAAGTTGTTGCTTTTATGAGTTGCCCTTTGGCTTGGTGAAGGGTGTAAGTGTGGCAAATTCCAATTATATCTAAAAAATTGAGGTACTGAAGAATTCTGAACACAAGGTAACGGTCACTTTTCAGCTACACTGAAAGAACTGGGAATAAAAGGGCCTGACAATACATCGACTCAAGACAGACAAGATAAAAACAACAAAATACTATATGCTTAGTTCTGTTTTCACTGTTTCAGAAATAACTAAAGCCTGTAAAAGTGACAGTAGTTTTAGAAGTCAGGTAAAACCAGAATCAAGCATCCTGTATTTTGTCTTTTTCCCAGAAGACACATGGTGTCCCTCCAGTGACAGTTACAGGGAAAAGCTTTCATGACCACCGTGGTTAGAGTTTGCTTACCCCTTAGATTCTTGACAAAATCTTCTAGCTTCATTTTGCGTTCTGGTTTCACGTTTGGGCTGTACATATCTGTGTTTAACAGTATGATGGCAAAAGCTAGAATGAAGATGGTATCAGGATTTCTAAATTGTCTCACAACACCTGGATTGCAGATACAGTATCGTTGGCTGTAAAAAAGCAAAGAGGGGAAGCTGTCAGAACTATGAATCACTATTCTAATTCCACCAAATAAACCAACTGCTACATTCCAGAGGCTGAGCAGGCTATTATTTGCGTTCCATACATATCTTTAGATTTCCGTCCACATATTTTTATTAGCCAATCCTAGAATGTGGAAGGCTTTAGTTTTCTGCTACCACTGTAACTTCACTTCTTAGTACAGATTCTGAGCTACAAGAACTTCAGTATTTCATTTTTTTTCAGTGAGTAATACCTACTGAGACCAGGTAAGAATACAGCATTGATGTTAGATTACTGCCACAGGATGATCTACATCTCATCCTGCCCTGGATAAAGTATGCTTGTGTTAGTAAGTTAATGCTCTTTATTCTGGTATTGTTGAAATGCTTAATGAAAGGTTGAGAGCACATAAACTCTAAAATGGGAACAGTCTTACAATTCCTCTTATACAAACTATTATATGGAAATTGTTAGAGACATTAAAAGATCCTTGAATTTCTTTTCAACTGATGCCAGAAAGAACTTTTAATTGATAAACCTCGCTACATTAATATAAATGACATACATGAACAGCACCAGCAAATAAAACTTCCTATTTCAACCTTAGCAAAACCACCACAAACGACATGCTGCATTTGAAACTGTATGTTGCTCACAAGGACAGTGCAAACAAGCAGGGCAATAACTTAGACAGACTCAACTTCCCCAGTTCTCCAGTCTGACCATTAGATAACAGCAGGTTTCTGGTGACTGAATGACTTATTTCAGCATCATACCTAAAAGCTTCAATGAGCCGTTCGACTTTCTGGGCTTCTCCTTGAACGCGGATATGAGCCTGAAATTTCCTGAGTGCTTCATCCAGTTCCATTGTTGAGAAGTCCATCTCATCCACAACACAGCTAGGATAAAAACATATTGCCGTTTCAATTTCTAACAATGCAGTACCAAAGGTAAGATTTTGAGACCAAAAGAACCTTGTGATTTTCCATCTCTTATAGAGATTCATGGAGTTTTTTGAAACATTCAGCAGCAATTACAATAATTGTAGGTAAGCTGTGAAGGAAGGATTGCAAATAATAGATCAATGACAATGCGTACACGTAAGCAGGTCCTTTTTTTTTTTTTTTTAACAGAAGAGCTGCTGGAATGACAAATATCTGACCAATATAAGTGACACATCATTGCCAAGAATAATTATTGGCTTTGTGCTTCCAGGCCAATCAATTATTACAATACCTATAATAATAATACATAGTTTATACTGCTCAAAATATCAAATCTCAAACAGCCTGCAGCAAGCACAATAATCTGTACCAAATGACTCTGTGTGTAGGAATGTTCTTACATATGGAGAAAAAAAAATTAATCTTGTTTGGATACTCTCTTACTCTAATTCTCATCTCCCCATTATTTGCCATGTCTTTCAGTTAACATTTATGGAGAAATAATTACTTTCTTGCTCTGAAAATACAGCGCTGACAAAATATAAAAAAGGAACTAGTTTAATATAATCAACATCATGAACTATGTCATTCTAATACTTTGTTTAAAGACTACTTTAAAAACAGAAGCTTATAAATTTCCTTCCTTTAAACTTAGCTTTTAGTTTTTAAATAACCAGACATGAATCACTGCAAATAACAGCACTGTAACGCAGAAACCACAGAAGAAAGCACAATCCAGTTTTAAAAGCCTGTTCTTAAATGTATAGCTATACAATGACAAATTAGAGTAGCTCACATTTTTCTTCTAGTACCATTATAGCTAACAGATTAATATCAAAGCAATTTATTCACTTTGTCTTGAATATTTTTCCCTTTATGCAGAAGTGCAAGGAAACAAAGAGGCTTGGTATTTCTCACGCCCTTTCCAACCCACACCTAAAAACCTATTATCAGTTCTGCAATAATGTTCACAGTCTTCCCACCTATTGTAAGTTCTGTAACACTTTCAAAAACTTTTCTCCTTCAAAGGTGTAAAGCACATGTGCAGACATGCTGGAGTCAAAATGAAGTAATTAGAGCGAGAAAGACCTCCAGAAACATGCATGGCCAACAATATAATTGGGAGGGGTCTTAAAAAATCTTTTACATGAACTGTGGAGACAGCAGATATACAGCCATGGTCAGTGTTCTTAACTGGAACCAGTACTTTGCTGCAAATGTTTCAAAATAGTAAACAAAACTTTTCTAGTGGCTATGTAATGATAAAAAAGGGAACAAGTTGTTTTAGCTGGGTCATTACAGCAAATCAAAACATGAAAGTAAGTAAGATCAGATACACTTGTTCGGTTTTTGTTAACAATAGTTAAAAAAATTATAATCCTTGATAATAATATCATGATCATAATGATAAAGAGAACATGATTAAATGGACTTTAGTCACTGGGGGTGATTTTGAGTACGTACATACTCTGGGTGAATAAGCCTGTGCTGAATGATCACATCTTCACTATTAGAGTTACACCTCCCAGGCAGGTAAAAGGAAGAGGCAGCTAGGCTTCACCACTGCTAGGGAGGCAGATAACTGAAACTTCTTCCCGGGAACTATCCCCCGCTTACCACCTCTCTAGGAAATTTAGGCAAGAAGAGTGGACCATACCATTTGCTGGGTCAGCGCAGCTACACCTGCCTTGGTTCTCTACTGTACCACTTGCTGTACTCTTGCACGTAACTGTGTAGTGTAACGGAGTGAAATGACGGAGTCCCACACAGAGCAACAGAATGTCATACCTCCCCTCTCACTTTTAACAGTGGTCTTTGTGATGGTTTTATTTTACTCCTTTGGGTGACTGTACTTTTGTTTTCTAATGCAAAGTAGAGGGTCAGATCCTCAGCTACATCTCTATTACACCAAGCACTCCTTGGTCAGGCAGAAAGAGAAGGCTGAGGCTCACTGCAGAACAGCAGTGCTCCAGGAAGCGCGTCTGATGTGCCCCAAATGCTGGCCAGGGCAAGAACATCAATGCCAGCTACGCCAGCCTCACGCCACCCAAATACTGCCTTTACACTTCAGCTACCACCACGTAGCAACTACAGTAGGCCCAGAATGCAGCTCTTGGTCAAAAACTTAGGCTACTCTCTTGAATATTTTCTAAGCTCCAGTGTAAAGAAGATTTCAAACAGTTAAAACAGCCTAATTTACAGGATCTGGGAAACTTGAACACAAATCAAAGCAAGTAACTTGAAATTAAACTGTGTAACACAAAAAGGATATCAGTTAAAATATCTTTTCTATGTAACAACCTGGAGTTATTATCAGTTCAACAAAATCTACCTCCAATCTGTAAATGTGCTATTTAAGATGCAATGCTATTCTATTTTCTCTTTTTAAGAAAAGATACCTTGTTCCTATTTGCAAACAAGGTTCAGAACACTATCAAGAGAACCACACTGTTTACAGGGTGTTCCTCACCCCAAAGCATAGCTGAAACAGCTTATTTAAGAATGGATTAATTTCAGTAGAAGGATTGTTGTAGGGTTGTAGGTAAGTGATGATGGCCTTTCTCTTTCATCTCATCACAGATACAGCATCTGGCTTAGCAGACACACACCCTTCCACTTCCCCATATTCTGCTAGCCTCTTTGAGAGGGTGAGAGCAAACAATTCGTTCAAGACCACAAAATGAATCATCTAAGATTAGAAATCATCTTGTCCTGGACCTGTACTGTTTTCTTTTAAAACATTAGAAAATATGGACTCTTTGGAAAAGTCTTCAGCCTAGTCTGACTCATAATTGCAAAATCCAGATGATCATTACAAGTAGCTAGTAATGACTCATGCTGAATAGGGATTGCATCCAAATCAAGCCATATTCTATTACTCTGTATTGTAAGGCTAGCTGCATGCTTTGCTACACAGCCTCTTCCGTTGCTTTCCGCTGGGTATTGGACTATAAGGTGGCAGCCTTTAATAAGGCGTAGGAAAGAAAGAGACGACTTCTAAAAACTAGGCCTATGGTTTTAGGCACACCATTACAAATGAGCACTGTACAAATACAGTGTTCAAGCTTGCAATTTGAGATATGTAAGTTCTGACAGCATAAGAGTAAGATCAGGATGACTGTAGGGAACGTGACCAACATCTTTGCAGTATGAAGTCAGTGAGAGCACTCTATAAAAAATATGCAAAGAAAATATAAGGTGTGGGCAGACACTTTATTTCATGATAACATAGCCTTAAATTTTTTGTGATGGATCAATATTATGGTATCAATATAATGTATCAACATTCAGGCCTGAAGAAAGACTGCAACTATAGACCAATGCAAATTTCAGCATAGCTTTTATTATACTCTGATTAAAAGCTGCAGTCACAATTTCTCCTAGTCTTCCTTTGTGGGCAAGATGTGGGGATTTTTGCTTTAATTCTCAGCAGTTTTGTTAAACAACTAACTGCATTTTTTTTATATACAATTCCTTGAACAAAACTGGACTAAGATGTATTGATGTTTACAGGTCAGTATATCAGATGCCAAAAAACCCCAAGAAACCCCCAAGAGAATGCATGTATTAAATCCTAGACTGGTACCTCTGGGACCTTAAAGCCCATCCAGTTCCACCCCCTGCCATGGGCAGGGACACCCTCCACCAGCCCAGGTTGCCCAAAGCCCCATCCAGCCTGGCCTTGAACACTGCCAGGGAGCCAGGGGCAGCCACAGCTGCTCTGGGCAACACGTGCCAGGGCCTCACCAGTTCCCTCACAGGGGAGAATTTCTTCCCTATATCTAATCCAAGTCTCCCCTCCTTCAGCTTCAGGCTATCCCCTCCTTGTCCTGTCACTCCCTGCCCTTGTAAACAGTCCCTCTCCAGTTTACAAAATGAAAATGAACACCCTCTTAAAATAAAGCAACTTCTTTTTTGGTCTACTCTGTATATAAGGTTTAGAAATTTATGACCACGCTGTTAAAAGTCTAATTTTCTGCTTTGAATTTCTTCGGGTTTTAGAACAGTTTTTGTTTATCTAATCTTTTGGAAAAGAACAGTTTGTATAGATCTTGTCAGCATATGCCTGTACACACTGAAATCCCTGTTTATCTAACATCTGAACCATTTGGCTATAATAATTATTTTCATGTTCTGTTACTGATGAAGCCTTATGTTGCATATAATATTATTTTGTTTCATTCAGTAAATTATTAGAGAGCCTGAGGAAGGAAAAAGACTTTGAAATAACATACTCTAGCACCAATGAAATTAAAACATAAATTTAGAGTAAATGTAGGCAAGTACAGACAATATAAATCCTTATAAGTATCTTGCTGAATCAATAACAGAAACAGTAACTTAAAGAAATAAATATTTGCTCATGTGCGTGCTTGCTTTCTTAACCCTTAGAGTCTGGTTTTCCTCTCCTTCAGAACAAGCACAAAACATTCAGAGACCATTACTACCTCTACCTCGATGATACATCTTACTTGCACATTAAACCACGCTTACCTCCTCCCCACACACAATACTCACTCTAACACATCCCGGTTGAACTGTTTTTGTCGATTTCCTAGAAATTCTCCAATCATCTGTCTGCTGAGACCTTTCCGCTGCAGGAGAAAGTGGGCAACACCGACTGGAGTGTCTGGCACAAAACCTCGCTCAATTAGGTACTGGACTCCTTTTTCAGGTTTTCTGAGGGGAAACAAGAATACAAAACTGTTAATTTTCTTCCATTGGACCTGAAGGCATCTGATTACAATTTTACGATTCTGCCAGTTACTTTTGACTAACTCACTGATAGTATGGGCTAGTATAGTTTCAGGATAAATATGACCATCCCGTAGAACATGCTGTTCACTGTTAATAGCTTACTAGCTTTGAAACACCTCCGTGCCTGTTATTACACATTTCTCTGCTCCATAATCTTTCCCAAAGCGAAGCTTTATGCACAAGCAGCTTCAGGCATGAAAGTCAAAACACCTGTCAATGCAAAAGACAAGCCCAACATCAGCTACTAAATGCTCCTGCTGCTGGGAGGGAAGTACCTTCCAGAAACTGAACTGAAAAGCTTCTGATGACAAACGAGAAGCAAAGAACACCCCTGACCCCCCTGCTGTCAAAAGTTAAACTTATTGAACAAAAACATCTGAGGAGGTATAACTTGCAAGCTGAGAATACAAGAAATAAGGGGGAAAAAATAAAGTCAGTCATGCAAAAAGAAGCAATTAAAAATAGTGGAGCTCCCATCTAATTTAGATTATTTTTTCCTTGCCCTTAAACACACTCATTGCCCCAGATTCCCCTCCTCAGACAAGCACCTTCATCGTTTCTGGAGTATTTTACATCTCTTTATACATCACCTTCAGACTTAGCTGTAACCACTTTCAGATCTAAAAACAAAGCAAGCCAAAGCTACTCATTTTAAAATATTAAGAAGCATGTGTTGGGGAGGAGGGTTGGTGATAGAATTGGTTTCTGGCAATAATATCTACTGCTTTTAAAGGCAAATGCTGCTTATGTTTTAAAGTGATGTAAAATTTTCCTCACAGCACTTACTGTGCACTGTTTCTTCCAGCAGCGTGACACAACAGACAACCACAATTTCTTTTAAAGATATTAAAGGGCTATCTTTACAGAACCAGTAATTCCATCATCATTTTGTAAGGAATTATAATATAAAGTCCACCTGTAAGAGTGAATGATTTGCAGCATGCTGGATGACCTGAAAGATATTTCCTTTAAGGCATGCAAAATCAATTCCAAAGGACAAGGTGACCGTACTATTTTTATACAAGGTTGATCACACAACCATAACCATTCCTCAGGGTTTTTAATTGCAAATAACATTACTAAACACATCACCATTCAGTTCTCCTTTTACATTACACTATTATACACTTAATACCCTATTAAGAGTTAGACAGATTAAAGCAATATATATAATTTAATCATAAGGGAGTTCTCAAATCTCAATTTCTTGGATCAGGCTTTGTGGCTCTTTTCATCTGAAATAAGGTTACACATATGGTCATCTTCTAAATATAATCTTGGAAAATGAATCTTCTTCGTACTCAGAAAGGACTGGTTTTCCTGCAAGTAATGTTACTACTATGTTCACATGCTTTTGAGTTGAATTTCAGAATTCTTAAGCTTTCTGAATTTAAATTCACAGTACCCAACAAAAACAGGAATAGTTTTCTCCATCCCCCTTGTTAGTGAGCGACATTTGTCCACAAAATCCGGAGTGATACAAACCCAGGAGAGTTCCTTTCCAGCAATCGTCAAAACAGAAAACAAAGAATACTATCAAAAAGCACAGCTTGATTCAAAGATCACCTTTACTTGAGATATAGAAAATGCTGGATCATTACTTATTACAACTTGAATTCTTACTACCCCCATAAGCCTGAACATTTAAAATCATTTTTTCCCATCGATACTTTCTTCATGCTGAAGTGAAGCATCAGGAAGTTTTGCAGCCTAGGATTATCAGAAAGCAGTCTTAATTTGTTACAAAAGTTGTAACACGGAAGCAATGTAAACTCTGAACTGTTATTACATGCAAATAGTACCTGAAAACTCTGAACTGTAAGAATGAAGACTACTCTTTCCGTACTTGATAAATTAAACTCTAGTAGCGGTGGCATAAACTTCAGAGTAACAACCCTGTAAGAGTCATTTCCACGGTGAAGAAACTTTCTTTGTAATTCATAGCCTTATCCACAAATTCACCAACTAAAGATCAGTAAAATTGTATCATACTACTATGAAATCTGTCCTCTAAAAACTGTTAACTTTGTTCTGTCCTAAAAAAAGAACCGTAAGCCTAGAGCATATGACTGATCTCAACTGAGGAGCTGCTTGTGGGCTGGCCCCAGCCAGCAGCCCAGCACCCAGCCTAACCTGGCCCAGAGCTACTGCTAGAAAGAACCAACTCAAGAACTACAGGGCTTCTCCAGAGAATTTCTGCTAGGTGTTGAGAAGAGACTGTAACTTTCCCTAATTTTACTTTTGATCTTTCGTTGAAGGTTCTGATAGTCATCACTACAAGGGGGATAAAGGATTTCTTAGAGCAAGCATTAGCAGGATAATTGTTCTTAATGACAGAACCTATAGCTTCAGGTGGTCCTTTGGAACCTCACCCCAAGTAATGACAGCCTACAACAGAGTATATTCTGAAGGATGGCATAAAGGACAAGCAGCCAGAGGCAGGTGGTACCACTCTGTAGTTGTTAGGGTGTCACTCCTTGAGCAAGGCAGCCGACAATGTTTTCAGTTTTCCTGTTACCAAAATGAATACTATTTGGCTCACAGGAGAACTCTGAAGGTTAAGGGGTTAAATGGAAATACGCAAAATAAAGTTCTAAATAAAATAAGTTTCTATCCAATGGGTATCTCCCTAGCTTCCCATTCAGCTCATAAATGCTAATGTTGGTTTCTGGTCTGGAAGTCTAGCTTGCTGACAAAATTTCTTCATATTTCTCTTTTTGATGATCTGAAACCTTGAATTCATTCAACACTCTTGACCAAGAAATTGAATTTAATATGAACTAAATTTTATCAAACAGCTTACTGGAAGCACACGCTCCCTTTTTATTTTTTAATCACCTTGCAAGCTAGGGAGGTTCAGGGGGGTTTATTGCGGCTCCCTCCCACCCTGCACCAGGTGTGACATTATCTTATTCAACAGGAAAAGTACTTAATAGAAAATTGTGACTTTGTAAGAGCATTCGGAAGTGTTGTACTTCCAAAGAAATTCTACTTAAAAAGTGAAGCTAACAATAGGTTAAGAGAAAAATGTACACAAGGGTGCCTTCCTTCTCTGTCTTTAAACACAAGCAATATTTTTTGTTTTTTTCAAATTCAAAGAAATTAAAGAACTGAACAGGTTCGTGGAAGTTTAATTCATCCTCAACATCACAAATTTCAAATATTACTAAGTATGAAGAAATTGCCACTTAAATGCACCAGGAAGACATGTAGGTTGTGGCGTTGACTATCAGCAAACTACCTGAGACTCATTTGCTCCTTCCCAATGAAAGGCAAAAACCACCAGGTAGCTGACAGGGTTTCTGGGAGGGCAAGTTTTAAAAGACAACACAAACAGGGATTCTACTGCCTGCAAAACCAGTTGTTTTAAATGGGACAAACTTTCTTTTTCACCAAACCCTAATTTGCCTAAAGTGTATGACCGGACGCAGAAGGAAGTGGGACATGAAAGGGTCACGGATTTAACACGAGATAGGACACCTGACATAACTTATCCTCATTTCTGTCTACTCAGAATTAAGCATAGATCGTTTTGTACTTACAACTAAGAGTCTTTTGTGATTAGGAAAATTCCCAGTGATGGCTTGTTAATTACACCTACCAATAACAGGGAAGATGAGAAGTCTATAAATAGCAATCGTGGAAGCTGCATAAGCAGAGCATTTATTTTCAGATTTGAATACATTAACTAATATCAAAATACACACTCTAAAGCTAGCACCTTACATAGCTGATGATATATATAGATAAATAAGAAAAGTTCTCTACAGGATTGCTTCAAAAATAAAGCTTAAAAATATCTTCTAGCTCAAAAAAAACCCCCACCAAAACAAATCAAAGGAATCTACTGAAAGGAAGGAAAAAAAATAACTAGCACAAAAAGATGTGCAAAAACATATTTACGTAAGATTCTCAGATGTTGCATACAGGTCTAAGGAATGTGCCAGAAACTCATTAATAAGAAGACCTTTAGGATGGTTTAAAGCGACTTTTAGGGGAAAAACATCTTAGTTTTACTTAGAAAATAATGCAAACTTCAAAATAACAGATCAAACCAGTATATTTTATTAAGCATATTTTATTAGAAAGTACTGGTCATATCCAGTAAAAATGTTGTATTGGGTGTTTCTGAAGACAGGTTGGATCCTGCAGCAATTTTTAGAAACGGACATCTTTAAGAGGAAGCAATATCCAGGAATAAAGAGTGCAAAATCACACACAGACAACAGTTAACAAAAACAAAGAAAAAAAAAGAGCGAAAAGACCCCACTAAAAACCTACTCCCTCAAAAGCCAAGGCACTAGTAAATCCCTGCACATCACTGCTGTTTCCCCTAGTCGGTACTACCCCTTTCCTTCCCAGGCCTAATACTAACTGAAAGGAGATGGCTTATTTACTCAGCAAGTTCTATATGCAGCACTGAAAGCGTAAATTCAGTGGAAGTTCATATAACTTGCTGACATTTGTGTAGATCTCATTAGAGTGGTGGTTTGTTGGGGTTTTATAGCTTGTGAAGCTGAGGAGGAGTTGTCTTTTAAAAGCTACGCAGGTTGAATCTGGAAAAGTCTCGAAACGTCACAAAAAGGTCAGTATGTTTAGGAGTTTTGCTAATGTAAGGGATGTACGAGACTCTCCTAAGAATGAGCTCTGCTTTGGAGTATGGGGTTGAAAAGACAATAAATAGGGTAATAATATTAAAGCCGGTACATTCCTGAGAGTCCCTTGTCCAAGTTAGGGATATATAGAAAGAAAAAAAAAAAAAAAGATTTTTTTTTCATTAGACTAAAACCTACATGTATATAAGAATCTTTAGAAAAACACTGCATTCCTAGTATTTCTATTGCCATGAGCAAATTAGTAAGGAGAGCAGCGATCCAGATGTATAATTCTGAATGTATCATCATTTGTCTCAATTAACTTTC